ACTCCCAACTTGGATATTGTTCATGAATATTTTATTAGCTGGCAAAAAGTTTGATTTTGTTGCTAGGCTTAGTATTAAGACAAAAGATTTCAATAATTCTGAAACCAAAGGAACTGAGTTTTACCAACAAACTCTGATAATAATCTCTATATCTTTGTAACCAGATTTGGTGTACCTTCGATATTTAAAACTTTGTATACTGTTAGTTCAAATAGCCTACGCTTGAAAAATCAAAGATTTGCACCATCAGGGTCCAAAGATAAAGGGATTATAACATTTGAGTTTGTGGCAAAGACTCAATTCCTTTGTGGAATATTAATTTCAATCACAGGAGATATGGAACCAAAATTCTGTATTGGCAGAATGGCAGGACTTGGGGTATTTCATCAATTGCATTTAAAAATTAAATTGACAAAACAAATGCCGAAAAACAATTTCAAACATCAAAGACGATTGTAATTTTGTGATGATTAATTGTCAATTTATTCCGATTCTTTGTGATTAGGACTGTATATCTCTTTTCATGTTTAATATCAGAATTATTTTACCACAAAACCAATTCAATAATATCCATGCACTCTGCTATGTTATTGTATGTTATCTTATCTTTATTATAGAACCTGCCAGTTATTTATTAAAAAAGATAAAGCACATATCAATATGAACATAGAAAACAACATTTATTTCAAATAATGTGTAGATTTGTTGAAAAAAGTAATAATTTCATGCGACCCACCATTTATATGGTTATCAAATATTAACCATATACCATGTTTTTTTTAACAGATTATTTTCTATAGTTTAGCGCATTTCTGCTGCAGAAAGAATGAAATAATTATCAGAATTAGAACTCTTTTAAAGCTAGATAGACTGAGGATATATTTCATATTTTCAATCAGAAAAAGATTTCAAGGCCACCATTGTGAACAGGGCCACCTGCCCTTTTTTAATTTAACGAACTTTAAATTACGACTAAAGTCACTGTACACGAAAATCTGCCCCTTTAGTAAAAGTAAATTCAACCTATATGCAATCTAACCGCGTCAACCTTGTTGCACCGGCTAGTCCTGTCCATAGAGCTAGGTACAGTACAAACTTGGACAGGAAAGGTTGACCCGGCTCGGAAATTCAAATGCACTATACGGCTGCCCGTGTGTAAGCTTAATGGAAAGAAATGCGTAATTAATGCCTATTTTCAACTCCAAACTTTTAAGCCAGATAACATTTCTAGAATTTCTTTAAACTAAAAAAATTATTACATTATGATGTACAGTAAACCCCATACAATTTTGGGATAAAAAAACAACTGTTAGACTCAAGTTTAGATTTTAAAATAGTATGAAACATAGCAGTAGTTATTGAGTGAACACGGTCGTTAAAAACAAACCCATTTCACATAAAGGGACTGTAAAGGAAAAATGAAACCTATACCCTATGCTCTATATAAATAAATTGTTATTTGAATTTAATAATGTTTCATCTATAAAAGATATAAATTGATAATATTATTTATACATCTGTGACCAGAACTCTAACCGATGACAGTACAGTTTACTGGTCACGTAATACCGACGGAGTCACGTAATTTATTATATTATCAATTATATCTTTAAAACGAAAAAATAATAGTTTCTTCAGCTTCCTTGGATATCGTTGTTTTCAGATTGGTATTGGTATTGTGTATTGTGTATTGTGTATTGTGTATTTGGTTGTGTATTTGCTGAATATGATTCGTTTAACTTACTATTTTTATGTAAAATTTTATAAGTTTAGATTTTCGCATAAATATGACACAATTTCAAATAAATTTCTCGAGACAGGAACATCAGATAGAATTCTCATGGGTCTTGATCAACTTATAAAATGCTTAGGTTTCAGCCGGTTTCATTTTTCCTTTACAGTCCCATTAATAAGTTAAATTTTAATTTCCATGGTAAATAATTTGCTTTAAAACGTCATCAAGATTACTTTAATGTCGTCTTCCTATTCCTTTTTATTTTAAAAACCTTCAGATTAAATTATTTTAAAAGTAAAACAATATCAAATTAATGTTTACTACGAACTCCAGGATAAATAAATGGAGTGTTTGTCACAAACTCTGATTTTCTAATCTCTTTTTTCTTTGCAACTCAATGCGCCGTGGTCAGTGGAACTATGAACTCTGGTGGCTTAAATAATTTAAGTTTGTAATACCAAAAGTTTGAACCATCAGGTTGCAGAGATATGGGGACTTGAAAATTTGAGTTTGTGGCAAATACTCAATTCCTTTGTCTGTGTTAAGAAAGAATTTCGTGTAGAAAATATGTGAATCTAATAATATTTACTGTTTATTCTTTATATTTACTGTTTATCCCACGTGTAAGTGTGTTTACTGTTATTTGTATGTGTAACGGACATAAATATAATCTTCAGTTTTCCTATTTTCTCCTCTTTTGTTCCTTCAACAAAAACATCAAATTAGAAATATTATAAATGTGCATAGTTCCCCACNATAGTTCCATTTACTGATATCGCCGATTGAAGGATTCATAACTCTGATTGGATAAGGAGATAGATAGAAAGATAGATGTTACCGCCGTACTATTTCTATTGGTTCAGAATAGACAAAAAACACATGACTGAACCCTGATTGGATCAGGCGCTAATGGTATAAATTAATATTTTCTAAAGGTATACACTCGATTCACTGCGGTTACAATGATGGAGATATGGTCGTTTGTCTGTTAAGAAAAAATACCAATTCTCTATATTTCCTTCCTTTTATCTAGTGCATAAAGCCGCAACCGTTGTTGAAAATAACTACATTAAAACTATGTGTTTGATTCATAATGTCGCTCATTAAAGTTTGTCTGGGCAAAAATTTTACCCTTGTTTTACAACCTTAAAATTGATAATTTTCAATTGTATTTTGTGTTTTTTTTTTGGCACAGAATCATGCATTTACATCTCACGTTGAATCACGTAAACAGTCCTTTTAAGTAGATCTTTAACCAGACGTGGATTTAACGGTTCTGTCAATATTCCAGAAAGCTGTGATTTTCGATCACAATTTGACCCATTAAACATAATTTGTAAGCCTTTTTTCCTTTTATACTTTTGGGTCGGCATATGCATTTTGAATGAAAATGTATAGTATAAACAAATCCGTAAAGTAAATGATTGTTGAAGTATAGATCAAAACACGTTTGATTTAAAATAGAAGAAACCGAATGCTGCTCACTCTGGTTAGTCCGGGGTGCCCGGCCCACACAGACCATTGTTTTACAGTTTAAAGCCAATATATTACCGATATATTGGCAAAGACAGTAGAGGAAAACTGCAGATATCCCTTTTTGAAATATATTTAGAACTAAATTTTTTTGTAGCAGTAAATATAAAATTTCATAAAAATTTCAAAAAAAACAATATGACAATTGTTTATTAAAAAAAAGTTCTTAAAATCAACAATTTGTTTACGTACAACATGTATACGTATTTTGTTTTAGTATTTGAAAGTACAATTAAGGTGTGATCTTTTAAGGCTGAACTTTCAATTTATTTAACTCCTATCCTGCATTTTGATTGAAATGTTTCATATAAAGGTGTTCAAAGTTTTATCTATCATTTCAAATGAATGATTTCAAATTTAAATAATGAAAGCAACTAAATAATTTGCAACTAAAGAACTATCATTTTCTTTCTTATAATTTATTTTCAAGATGTAATTTGAAAATGTACTTTTTCTTATTAATATACTTTCATATTATTTGTTTCCCTTGTACCCCGGTGGGACCCATCCTCCGCAAAAGTTTGAAACTTTTCAATAATAGGCTTAGGTAAGGAAAACCCTCAAAGTTTCCAGCAAGCGGAAAATATAAGAAATAAATTCTCTAGAAAATCAAAACAATTGAATTTAGAATAAAAAAGTTTAAATTTTTAAGTGTTGGCACATGGCACAAAAATTGAGAACATAGTTATAGCGTCAAAACAATTAATAGCGTTCCGAAACTTTTAAATCAAAGAAATCGTCTCAGTCAAAAATTTAGATACAAAATTTAGCTCCAAAACTAAAGAACGAAAAGTTACAGTATAAACGTTAATTTTAATCTCATAATGCCACTAGTGACTTAAATTAAACATTAACATTAAGATATAGCTTAAATATATAACTCATTCCTAACGGCCTCATAATTTTCTATCAATTAATCATAATTTTCTATCAATTAATCATAATTTTCTATCAATTAATTATGATTCTTTGGAAAATCTTGCAGCGCTTAAATATTTGTATAACACAGTTTTAAAATATATATACATATATTACATATTTGTATAACACAGTTTTAAAATGTAACTCTATTCAACTCATCTCCAGCTGATTAAAACAAATTTGGGGATAAAAGAACAGAGCTGAAAACTTTAAAATTGTGGATTTTTTAAATCAATGCTTGATCTCCTCTTTTTCTTAATCTATAGATTAAATAATGCTTGTTCTCCTCTTGTTATTAATCTCCAGATTAATTAACCGTTCGGGATTAAGGAAAGCCCATTCTAAAGTTTTCAGCTCAGTATTAAACATTGGTTGTATAGGTCCTCCTTTTCATCAAATAATTAAAAACAGCAAATTTACCAATAACAGTTGTTATTGCAGTATAATAATATTGGATTATTTAATAAATTACCTTTTTTATTTGCCTTGACTTTTAAATAAATATAAATATAGAATTAGAAAAGTCCATTTAATATTAATGCTAATAGCTCAATAATTGAGTTTAAAAACATAATATTTTGGCACACAAGATGTTAATGATTTTTTTGGGATATTTCTTATTAATTTCTTATTTAAAACTTCATTAATATTTAACATTTCTATTTTTAATTGTAACGGAGGAGGGGGGGGGGTCCACATCACCTTTGATAAGAAATCCTCTTTTTGCTTTTGCGAATTAAAAGATAAAATTCAGAACTTTTGTTAAACTAAAATTTTAGGTTCTTCCTGAATTCAACACTTGTTAAGAATAATCCGGCGGTTGTTGAGGAGGAGATTGCTATCCACCTCTCTACCGGACAAGGAGAGTGATGAGAAGGTAAATATATTCGGCGAGGTGGGGACGGCAATATTGCCACCTCTGGATCATTGATTAAATATGTGAACAGTCCCTTAAAGTATAATTTTATTCAGGCTCCCTCCCCTCCCTCCTTTATTCAGGCTCCCTCCCCTCCCTGCTCTATTCAGGCTCCCTCTATTCAGGCTCCCTCGCCTCCCTGCTCTGATCAAGAACTCTGTGATCCTGACACCCTTGTGCCCATTGATGATACTGTTAATGAAATATCAATTTCAGGTAAAATAAAACATTATAGAACTGTAATCCCCTGACTTTAACTTCTGATTAAAGATGGCCAAACTGTAACAACATTATAGAACTGTAATTACCTGACTTTAACTTCTGCATAAACATATCTAACCGTAACAAACACTATCAAACCTTGATTCCTTGACTTTAACTTCTGTTAATAGATGGCTAAACTGTAACAACATTATTGAACCTTGATCCACTGACTTTAACTTCTGATTAAAGATGGCTAAACTGTAACAACATTATACTATCAAACCTTGATTCCTTGACTTTAACTTCTGTTAATAGATGGCTAAACTGTAACAACATTATTGAACCTTGATCCCCTGATTTTAACTTCTGATTAAAGATGGCTAAACTGTAACAACATTATTGAACCTTGATCCCCTGACTTTAACTTCTGATTAAAGATGGCTAAACTGTAACAACAGTATTGAACCTTGATCCACTGACTTTAACTTCTTTTTAAAGATGGCTAAACTGTAGCAAACATTATTGAACCTTGATCCCCTGAATTTAACTCTTGTCTAAAGATGGCTAAATAGTTACAAGCATTATGGAACCTTTATTCTTTGACTTTAATTTCTGTGTAAACCCGGCTAAACCAACATCATTGAACCTATATTCCCTGACTTTTACTTCCGCCTGTAGTCGGCCAAACTTTTTGCAATTAGAGCGTTGAACACTTTATTGATTAATTCAAAGCACAGTTTTAAAGTTAGCATCAAAAAGTAGTTTTTAACAAAAGCGACGAACATTTTCTGTTTATCAGGCTTATCACCCGATTAACAGAGGAATATTGTAATAGAAAATTTAGAAAATAGCCGGGAGGGATTATGAAAAAGTACAAATAGGAAAATAACACATTTACGCTGTAAGAACTTGTAGTACGATGCGGACCATTCTTTCTGGAAGTATTTCTTGGTTTTTATTCAATTCAGTTAAATCAGGCATTTACAAACTCAAGTTTCTATTCGATTGTGGAAATAATGTTGAATGTAATTTTTGTGCTTGTCACATACATTGAGGGAGGTTGAACGATTATATCTTAATTGTCTCAAGGATGATTAATAAACATAGCCATTGCCGAGCTCCAATATTTCAAGAATATTATTAAATCATTTGCTTTGATTTTACGTTTTTTTTGAAAATAATATTTCTTTTTTTCCAACAGAGGAATCCGTTTAATGCCTTGTGAAACTGGATCCTAACTTTAATAAAAGGAAGAATTGAAGTACTCTGTTTATATCGTCAAGGATTTGTCTGTAAATGTTTTTCTTTTATAAACACAACAATACACAAACATTGTACGCCTCAATTAGAGGTAGCTGGGAATCATATTTAAAATCAATTCACGTTTTATTTTTGTTATATGTTCGTAGTTTTTTAACTTATTTAAAGAATGTGATAGAAAAAAATATCTAATATAATCTTCTCCATAATCCATCAGATTCAGAAATAGCATAAAGGGAAAATACATTTAAAACTTTTTTAACCTATATTTTAGTGCCAAATCTGGCGGATCGGAATATGAATATAATACGACCTATTATAGAATATAACAGGTAAAGATAAAATATTTAAAGTTATAAATAATTTTCAACATATTGGAAAGATTATAATTTCTACAACTTGAATAACGTTTTTCTAAAGATTAACTTTCTCATAAAAGGAAAAAGTAACTTTTAGTAACCTTGGCAGCGCTGGGTTCCCAAGCTAGTTATATATATATATGATTTTATATATGATTTCCCCTGAAGATCATAGTTTTCACTTTACCCTTTTCATCAAGGCAAAGGACATTTTTCGGTTACCAGAGGGAAAATTACTTTATTTTCCCAAATTTGGCCAATTTGTAAAAATAATAAATTCAATTTGAATTTATTTATCTTTCCCTTTAGGATTTAAAGCCACAAAAGATTCTAAAGAAAATATTTACTCAAAATATTTTATTCTTTAAAAGTTAAGCCGTGGAAATAAGCTAAATTGGATTTGTTAACCCTATAAAGGCTGGGGGGTCTGAATCTATGTGTAGCCTGTGGGGGCGTTTGGCGCCCCCCCCCCCTCCCAAGAAAAAGCCTTAGAGAATAGCCATAGGGTTGAAATACATGTCCATAGCCCAAGATTTTCAAGGCCAGCTCAAAGAAAAGAAATAGACCGATAACTTTATAGTTTGGGTGGTAGGGAGAGTTAAAAAAACTCCCAAAAAAGGGTAAAAAAAATAATAAAATATTTTTTTGTTTTTAACAAATATTAAAGTGTGACACATGTTTCTACATGCAATTTTCATGGGCTTTTCAAAAATCTGTAGTTTTAGTCGCAAAAAAGTTATGGGCTATTTTAGTTTTTTTCACAGACCGGACTTTTTTTTCACCTTGTACCCTACCCTATAACAAAAAAAATATGTTTTTTGACAAAAATCCTTAAAATTAGTACCAACATTTCACGGTCAAAAATAAGAGTGCTAACACAAAAAACTCTGGGGGGGCGCCAAACGCCCCCCTCCAGCCTGTTTAGGGTTAAAACTACTAATCTAATCCCTATATCTTTGCAACCTAATGAGGTAAACTCTTTAATATTTCAAACTTAGATAATATCTACGGTGCACGACATTGGGTTAAAAAGGATTAGAATATCAGAGTTTGTGGCAAAAACTCAGTTCCTTTACATCGGAACCCAATTTAAGGCCCTAACAAGTCAGAAAAAGGATGAATTAAGAAATTTGAAATCAAAATTTATGCAAAAAATGTAACTTTTACTCCATATTCTCAATTTTTCATAAATTTGAAGCAAAAAAAAGTCGAGAATAAAATTACTGGAAAATTTTTACTTTTACACTTGATTCCCCTCATGCCCAATCTTATCTTGAACTTTTAAGAAGTTTTCTGAAAAGGATTTCTGATTGGATCTTTTAGAATTCTTTTCTTACAACAAGTGTTTAAACTCACGAAGCGCTTCAAAACAAAGATAATGGGAGGATAGTTTGTAATAGTTAAATTAGGTTCGAAAGTTAGAACGTATTCTTATCTCGTTAATATTGATATTATAATTATTAGAGATTAATAACATTGAATCTGGCTATAATATCATTTCATTTCTATATCTAGGCCTATAGGTCTATATCTAGGTCTATGTCTATGGTCTATATCTAGGTCTATATCGGAGAACGAGGGTGTAGAGCAGCGTGCCAAAGAAGAACGAGCGCTAAAGGAAAAAAAAATTACAAAAAAACGTCAAACTGATTTTACAGTGTGTCCCACTAAACTGATTTTACAGTGTGTCCCAATAAACTGATTGTACAGTGCGTCCTAATAAACATACTTTCTAATTCGAATCGCATTGGTACGGTCCCCAAATGTGGAAAAATAACATTTTAAATCATATTTCAAAATTATGATATTTTGTTGGCCATTGTAAAAAAAAATAGTGAAAAAAAGAAAAAACGCAAAGAAGTGAAAACTAAAATGTCAAATCAAATATCAGATTAAAATTGTGAAAAACAATATCAAAATATTACACGTGCAACTTTTGCTATTTTGACAATAGTTTTCTAAAACTGATTTGAGTCTTTGCCACAAACTCGGATTTGATTATCCATATATCTTTGCAACCCAATATCGTAAACCTTAGATAATGTTAAATAGAACTTTATAAACTGTGAATTCTTTTAGACCTAATAATCAAAGTTTGAAATATCGAAGGTTTACATCATCAGGTTGCAAAGGTAAAGAGATTACAAAATTTGAGTTTGTGGCAAAATGATTTTTCTTTATATAGTTTTTGAAATACTTGATAATCATTTTTTTCCCCTAAAGGTGAAAAACGAACGCAGGATGAGTAATCGTCAGAAATTATTAGGTAACCATAGAAATTTAGTGACTTTTGTATATGACATGGGAGTAGGTTGATAACTTGATTATAAACACAATAACTTTGTTCGTTTTCTTATTGAAGAACTAGTTCAGCAGATTCTTAAAACATACTTTGTGTATCCTAGAAACGGTACAGTAGATGCTTAAAACGTCCTTTTTCAGTCATGAAACTGTACAGCAGATACTGAAACATCTTGAGATCCTAGAAACGGTACAGTAGATACTTAAAACGTCCTTTTTCAGCCATGAAACTGTACAGCAGGTACTTGAAACATCTTGAGATCCTAGAAACGGTACAGTAGATACTCAAAACGTCCTTTTTCAGTCATGAAACTGTACAGCAGATAATTGAAACATCTTGAGATCCTAGAAACGGTACAGCAGATACATAAAACATCCTTTTTCAGCCATGAAACGGTACTGCAGATACTTGAAACATCTTGAGATCCTAGAAACGGTACAGCAGATACTTAAAACATCCTTTTTCAGCCATGAAACGGTACAGCAGATACTTGAAACATCTTGAGATCCTAGAAACCGTACAGTAGATACTTAAAACGTCCTTTTTCAGCCATGAAACTGTACATCAGATACTTGAAACATCTTGAGATCCTAGAAACCGTACAGCAAATACATAAAACATCCTTTTTCAGCCATGAAACGGTACAGCAGATACTTGAAACATCTTGAGATCCTAGAAACGGTACAGCAGATACATAAAACATCCTTTTTCAGCCATGAAACGATACAGCAGATACTTGAAACGTCCTGAGATCCTAAAAATGGTAGAGCAGTTACTTAAAACTTCCTTTTTCAGCCATGAAACGGTACATCAGATACTTGAAACGTCCTGAGATCCTAGAAACGGTACAGCAGTTACTTAAAATGTCCTTTTTCAGTCATGAAACGGTACAGCAGATACATGAAACATCTTGAGATCCTAGAAACAGTACAGCAGTTACTTAAAACGTCCTTTTTCAGCCATGAAACGGTACATCAGATACTTTAAACATCTTGAGATCCTAGAAACGGTACAGCAGATACATAAAACATCCTTTTTCAGCGTTGAAACGGTACAGCAGATTCATGAAACGTCCTGAGATCCTAGAAACGGTACAGCAGTTACTTAAAACGTCCTTTTTCAGTCATGAAACGGTACAGCAGATACATGAAACAGCTTGAGATCCTAGAAACGGTACAGCAGATACATAAAACATCCTTTTTCAGCCATGAAACGGTACTGCAGATACTTGAAACATCTTGAGATCCTAGAAACGGTACAGCAGATACATAAAACATCCTTTTTCAGCCATGAAACGGTACAGCAGATACTTGAAGCATCCTTTTTTAGCCATGAAACGGTACAGAAGATACATAATGATAAAACATCCTTTTTCAGCCATGAAGCGGTACAGCATATACTTGAAGCATCCTTTTTTAGCCATGAAACGGTACAGCAGATACATAAAACATCCTTTTTCAGCCATGAAAGGGAACAGCGGATACTTGAAACGTCCTGAGATCCTAGAAACAGTACAGCAGATACTTAAAACATCCTTTTTCAGCCATGAAACGGTACAGCGGATACTTGAAACGTCCTGAGATCTTGGAAACAGTCTATAGTGTAGAGGTAAGGGAAAAATAACTTAACCAGAGATGTTTTGCCTCAAACTTTATAAAAAGTCATTTTCTCAAAATTTCCCAATATTACAATTTCCCATTGCCACACCTCCCAAATATAAATAACAGTTCCAAAAATGGAAACTTCCCAAACTCTTCCATGTGTATGAAAATAATATATTGAAAATTTTTTTATTACATCAGTAGATTGTGAACAAAATTTGAATATTCAAAGTAGAATTATCTCTTTTCGTCTTAACGGAGTGCATAAATTATTTTATCAAATTTTGAGTGTACTTGTAAGGTGAACAGAACTAAAAAGGAAGATAAAAAATAGAAAAATTAATTTTTAAAAATACAAATTTTCAATTTTACTAATCCATAAAGTTCTGAAAATTGTGCAGAAAGAAAATTGTTCCAAGTTCTCCATTTACTGCAAGTATTCTTCAGAAGCCCTCTTATCCCTTTATCCTATTCGAATTTGTGGAAAAGCCTGAGATTTAATTTGTGTGAAAACTACGTGCTTTGGATTTAAAAAGTTTTTAGAGCAGTGAGAAAATGTAATAATTTAATGGGGTTTAAAGGAACAGTTTGCAAAAAAACGAAGCTTAAAGGGCCGTCGTGTTGTTGGAATTTAATTTGACCCTCCACTCTATTATGCCGGTCCATTAGCGCCTGATCCAATCAGGGTTCAGTCATGTGTTTGTTATTTATTCTCAACCAATAGAAATTGCGTGGCGGTAACATCTATCTTTCTATCTAGCTCATTATCCAATCAGAGATAAATCCTAATGTCGGCGCTATAACAGTAAATGGAAATATTTACTTCTACTGAAACTATAGTGCTTCCATTTAAAGAAAAGGGCATTCTCTATTCACAAAGCTATCCTGGAAACCTTTATATCATCAAAATTGTGTGGATAACAATTCTGATAATTGCTACATTGTTTTCCTGCAGTATAATGTGCACAAGTCACTTTTGAATATAAAGAAATACTCAAATACTCATATTTTTATACATGGGGTATCTAATTCATATTCATGGGTACCGTTATTTATCGAAAATAAATCCAGGCTCACTTTCGTAGTTTACAAACCTTAAAGCTTTCATCTTCAAAATTGCATTTAAATAATTTCCAGTTTTTTTGGTAAATATGTCATTTAAAAATCACATCTTATTCCTGTCTGCCGAGTTCATCACCACCGGATCCAATCAGGATTCAGTCATGTGTTTGTTGTTTATTCAGAACTTCGCTATAAAATTGTAATAAATAGTATGGCGGTAACATATATCTTTCTCATTATCCAATTAGAGTTATGAATCCTTCAGCCGGCGCTATCAGTAAAAAGAAATATTTACGTCTACTGAAACTGTATCTGATCGGATCTATAAGAGTACGATATCATAAGAGCTTAATGCTTTTAACTAGTAACGCACATCAAAATTTTATTCCAATATATAAAGTTTATAATTTGTGTTTTGATAAAATTTGTTGAGGGTTGGAATTTATATTGATATAGTAGATTTATGGCTGGTTCGAGACTCCGTGTCAGCAAACAAGAATATTTAATTTATCAAGTTCATCATATTTTATATCCTCTCTTCCACATAACATTCAAAACCTAATATCAAACCATACATTTAGAAGAAACAAAAAACATCCGCGCCAGTACAGTACAGTACTAACTTATAGACGAAAGTGAATAAAGGACTAGTAGTCTACAACTTTTACTGTCGTCATCCATCAATGAGCTTGGCCCACTTTAGTATACAATAGTAAACAATATATAGTACAAACATTTATCTCCCGGCTGGTGAATTTATTTTGATACAATGCATACAAATACATTGCCAGAAGAAATATTAACGCTGTGGTCCACCCTTCACGCACCTCTGTCTCTTTAGTAAAAGTAAATTCAACCTTTATGAAGCATAAAGTCTGACCGCGTCAACCTTGTTGCACCAGCTAGTCCTGACCATAGAGCTCAGTAAAGTACAAACTGGGAACGGGAAGGTTGACCCGGCTCGGAAATTCAAATGAACTACGGCTGCCCGTGGTTTCTTTAGTGCTGAAAACTGTTGATATTTCGAACAGGAGTAGCTAAGTACAATAATGCCAGGTTCACTTAGTCCTAGGAGTCCTAGCCGGGTATTCTCTTTGTGAGCCCTACTGCTTGTAAATCACAAATGTATTGGATCATATAATTTAGTTTCCAAGCAAAGTTGGGTTTCCTAAACCTAGTGCATTTTTTAATATCATAGCACTGCCAGCGTTTGTATAAGTTTATACAGTGCGCCCTCAGCTAGCCTACACTCCTGTATACCGAGTCCATTAGCGCCTGATCCAATCAGGGTTCAGTCATGTGTTTGTTGTCTATTCTGAACCAATTGAAAAAGTATGGCGGTAACATCTATCTTTCTATCTATCTCATTTTCTAATAAGAGTTATGAATCCTTCAATCGGCGCTATCAGTAAAAATAAATATTTACTTCAACTGAAACTATGCTATACAGTGCCTAATATTTACTTCTACTGAAACTATACTATACAGTGCCTTATATTTACTTCTACTGAAACTATACTATACAGTGCCTAATATTTACTTCTACTGAAACTATACTATACAGTGCCTAATATGCCATTTTTAAAGAATTTGTTTGCGTAAAAGCGAAGAGGACTCTGATATGATAATTGTTAAGGAGGACTGTACAGAAGCTGGTAAACCTGGAGAGGTATCCGCAGAAAACTCTCAGGTGAACGTTGTGATTATCTCACCTCAAACTAATCCATATCTTTAAGATCTGTGGCCGAATTTAAAGAATTTGAGCGGCGGTTTAAATTTAGGCCGCGGCTTAAATATGGTTGGTTACACTTGAAATTGTATCAAATGTTTCAAGATTTAAGCCGGCGCTTAATTTAAACTGGGTTTTGACAGATTTAAACGGCGGCTCAAATTCTTTTGATTTTAAAGAATTATTCTATAGATCAAACCAAGATAAAAGATCACTGTTTTCAAATAAAAAATTAGGTATTTGCTTAAATAAATTAGATATTCCAAGTCTGTGAACAAAGTCCCATTCTTTGTGGGTAACATTTTATTCATTTCCTATTGGAAAATGTAATTGAACAAATTTTTTATAGTTGGAGATAAAGTTCCAGACTTGAAATTTATGTCTTGTTTTAAAATTGAAAATTTTCCAGACCGTGGGTTAAACAGCATAAAAATAATGTAGAGGGCTGTCCGCCGTTAATTCGGTAATCACCGTTATTTAATTTGACGAGAGAGATATTACCCTTTAACGATCACATCATTCGGAAAATGAACGAAAATTTTTAGAAAATCTTCATAAAACAATTCTTGAATACAATCGTAAACGATCACCAGCTTTCAAAAATCAAGAAAAAACGGCCCAAATTTTCTAATAACTATATTTTTGTAACCTGATGGTGCGAAGCTTTAAATTTTCAACTGAACCTTTTGATTAAAAGAATTTTTAGTTTTAAATAATAAATAAATACAACATCGGTGTGTTAAGCAATAGGGTTTAGAAAACCAGAGTTTGTGGCAAAAAATCAATTTATTTTTGTTCAAGTCAATCGTATTCAGCCCCCTCTTCATCATACATATAATTAAGTTGAATAAGATTAGAATATAGAAAAGTTATCGACCGAAAACAGAGACTAGCTTTCTTGTTCTATATTACAGTGGGTCTAACTAAACACGACAAATATAAACGACTAAGCACAATATTTTGAAAAAATAAATATATTTACATTACTCTTAAACAAGCATCCTTCAAGAGTAAAGAACAGAATAGAAGAAAAGACGACCTACAAAGAATGTTGATTGGGAAACCCTCTTTTTATCTTGTATTCTTACATCATATACCTTGTAATCAAATACACTGATTGGGATTCCTATAAGGATTACGTTAGAGAAGGAAAAGAAAAAAAGTATCAGAAAACAGAATATCTAATGTATAAGGTTAGGCAGTACACTTTTTTCTCTAACTTCCAAAATTATATAATAAGAGTCTAAAGTTAAAGAATGAGCTAAACTATAGCTATAGTTTAAAAAGTTCTGAAAAATAATGAGTTGCGATTTAAATATTAACCTTTCTCAATTTTGCCCTGAAGATAAATTTAAATTTCCCGGGGAAAATATGAACCAATCAGATAACGGGAAAATATGAACCAATCAAATTACGGGAAAATATGAACCAATCAGATTACGGGAAAATATGAACCAATCAGATTACGGGAATTACAGAGATTAGGGATCGACAGAGATGATGCAACATCAGCTGTTTCATAATTTCTAATTTCTTTACAAAACTGCAGCGCAAAAAATAGCAAAATATATTTCAAATTAGGTAAACGATGTATGACGGGAAAATAACAAAATATATTTCAAATTAGGTACACGATGTATGACGGGAAAATAACAAAATATATTTCAAATTAGGTACACGATGTATGACGGGAAAATATATATATTTCAAATTAGGTACACGATGTATGACGGGAAAATATATATATTTCAAATTAGGTACACGATGTATGACGGGAAAATATATATATATTTCAAATTAGGTACACGATGTATGACGGGAAAATAACAAAATATATTTCAAATTAGGTACACGATGTATGACGGGAAAATAACAAAATATATTTCAAATTAGGTACACGATGTATGACGGGAAAAGATATATTTCAAATTAGGTACACGATGTATGACGGGAAAAGATACAAAATATATTTCAAATTAGGTACACGATGTATGACGGGAAAAATAACAAAATATATTTCAAATTAGGTACACGATGTATGACGGGAAAAGATAACAAAATATATTTCAAATTAGGTACACGATGTATGACGGGAAAAGATACAAAATAAATTTCAAATTAGGTACACGATGTATGACCGGAAAATAACAAAATATATTTCAAATTAGGTACACGATGTATGACGGGAAAATATATTTCAAATTAGGTACACGATGTATGACGGGAAAATAACAAAATATATTTCAAATTAGGTACACGATGTATGACGGGAAAAGATTTGTAAACTTAAATCCTCAGATTAAATCCTTTTCACGAATTTAAATATCGCAAAATGTATTGCAATCAAATTTTTTTTTAATTTGTTTACAGAGGATTCATAAAGTGGTTCCACCAAATTATTTATAAAGACTTCCCAGAAAGACTTCAAGACTTATGATTATCAAAAATATCAGAAATCCACAAAAAAATCTTGAATTTTCCGGAAAATTTTTTTTTTACATTTTGCTTACTTATTTTATCATATTTAATTTTTTTGTAGAATATGTTTCTTTTAAAACGAATCTATTTTTGTAGAATTTTGTCTTCAGACTTTACTCCTTGGTTTTCCTTTAACCAAAGTTTTATCAGAAGCTTATTTTTACTTTGTTTAGATCAATAAAAAAGTTTCTAAACCTCTTGATGATGAGGCTGGGGGGGGGGGAGATCATTTTCCCAAGTTTTCTTCGGTAAATGTTCAGAAGGCTTTTAATCATTCATAACTCTATATAGAGGAAGAAAACATCTTGAACATATGTTTCATGGTACTTTTTAAGCTTGATAGGGTTATTCACGATCGATGATGCTTTAATAAAGACCTCTAACTCTGTAAAAAAAACGGATAATAGGATGAGAGAAATCCTTAAATATAATTGGTGAGAACCAAGAAAGATTTACCGGGAAACCCCATATCTATTTTTAAGTTTGTAATACAGTTTCTGGGACTGTTATCTTTCTCACAATAGACCTTTTAAGTGTACCATCGAAGAAAATATTTACAACCTAGAACGGTTACAGCCTCTTGCAAGCCGGAAAAATGTATCATTTATTCTAAGAAAAATTAGAAGTGGATCACCACAACCTGCTTCGGGGAGGGAGCGCCAGGAGTCTTTGCCAAAATTTCCTAAATCACTCCTGTATGCCCTCCACTCTAGTATGACGAGTCCATTCGGGTTGGATCCAATATGGGTTCAGTCATGTGTTTGTTGTCTATTCTGAACCAACTGAAATAGTATGGCGGCAACATCTATCTTTCTATCTATCTAATTATCCAATAAGAGATGAATCCTTCAATCGGCGCTATCAGTAAATGAAAATATTTACTTTTACTGAAACTATAGTGTATAGGTCTCAAAATATTTCTAAAAATTCCCTACAATACTGCACTATCTCAGCTCAACTACCATGTCTAGACAGACACTCCCTTTAATGGAAATTAAAACTCCCGAGAAATTCCAAAATAAACCCAAAGGAATTGAGCCTTTGTCACAAACTCAAAACTTCTACTATCTATATCTTTGCAATCCGATTATGTAAACCTTTAATATTTCAAACTATGATTATTTGATCTAACACAATCAATAGTTTGAAATATCAAAGGTTTACGACATGGGGTCGAAAGATAAAGGAATTAGAATATCAGAGTTTGTGTCAAAGACTCAAATCTTTTAAAACTTAATTTTCAAGTCACTATGAACAGTTTTAAGGTTAGCGGGATTTGATGAAAATTGTTGCTAACCACAAAAGGAATGGCAATTTTACCAAAATGATTTGAGTCTTTGCCACAAACTCTGATTTTCTAATCCCTATCCTTTCAACCCAATGTCGTAGACCATTGATATTTTAAACTATGAATTCTGTTAGATCAAATAATCTAGGTTTGAAATAATAAAGATTTACAACATCAGGGTTCAAAGATACAGAGATAAGAAAATTTGAGTTAGTGGCAAAGACACAATTCATTTTTCTGAGTCCCTTTTCAAAACATTGCTCTATCTAGGAGCAAGAGGCAGAGCCTGAACAAGAGCAGGAGCAAGAACAAGAGCAGAAAGAGGAAACAAGAGGAGGATTGAGGAAGTTTAGAATTGACAGTGATATTACAGACTATGATTACTCAACAGACAGTGAATCCTTACGATTCTTTTTCTCTGAAACCGATCCTTCAGGTGTGTTTATATAACTTTTTATTAAGTTACCGATATGTATCTAAATAATTCGAAAATTCTTTTAACATTTTTTCTATTTTCAAACCTCATTCAATTCCATATTTATTGTAATACAGAATGTAACACCTCTGTATCAAGTGTTTAGGTTGTAATGCAGGATGTAACACCTCGTATCAAGTGTTTAGGTTGTAATACAGGATGTAACACCTCTGTATCAAGTGTTTAGGTTGTAATACAGGATGTAACACCTCTGTATCAAGTGTTTAGGTTGTAATACAGGATGTAACACCTCTGTATCAAGTGTTGAGGTTGTAATACAGGATGTAACACCTCTGCATCAAGTGTTTAGGTTGTAATACAGGATGTAACACCTCTGTATCAAGTGTTTAGGTTGTAATACAGGATGTAACACCTCTGTATCAAGTGTTGAGGTTGTAATACAGGATGTAACACCTCTGCATCAAGTGTTTAGGTTGTAATACAGGATGTAACACCTCTGTATCAAGTGTTTAGGTTGTAATACAGGATGTAACACCTCTGTTTAGGTTGTTATTCTGTATGTGACACATGTGTTTAAAGTGCAATGGTTGTAAGAAAGGGTGCAACACCTCTGTATAAAGTGTATAATCTACTGTTTAGGTTGTAATACAGGGTGTAATACGTCTGAGCTGTGTTCCCGAAGGAGTAGCTGTGGATCCCAACCCAACCTACTGGATGTAGGCAAGGATGGAACTGAGGATTCAAGTAAATCGAGGTACAATATTTTATTGTTCAACGCTCGCGATTTAAAAACTTCGGCTTAAGCCGTATTTCCTTAAACCCGACTTTAAGACCCAATCTGAACCCCAACTCTGACGACAGCTTGTGTCACGTGATTGACAGCTGCAAGATCTTCGGCTCGACTTTAGGAGTTAGGCTCAATGAAAATAAAACCGACCTTGATTGATTTTAGTGGAGAATAAGGTTCAATGTTGAGCCTTGTTCTAAAGAACCCGGAATGCGCCAATTCCTATCATGAAAATCCGCCAAAAAGAATGAATATTCAACCGGTTTTTTGGACTCAACTCTGTGGAAAATAAGATGCAGATTGAATCCGAAAGCTCAAGCCGTAAATAAAGCCCAACGACAGCTTAGACCCGCCGTCTTTTCCCGAATTTTTTAAATCGCGGGCTTAGAAAAGAACGAAAAAAGATCCTCCAAAAACTTGAAACTTAAGATGAGAAATCACTTTTTGTCCAGCCTTAGTTTTGCCTAAAGGATATAAACCATGTTAGAAGTTTTGAAGGTTGGGATTAAGTTTTTACGATGAAAACCAAGCTTGAAGTATTGGATTTATTTCAAATATTTTTAGAATTTGAATTTTCTCATAATACATTTTATATATTTATGCATTTACATGTAGCACAAAGTAAAATTTGCGCAAAAAGACGGAAATGAAATAGATTTTATTCTTTTTCTATATTTCTATTTATATATATTTTACTATTTTGTGATTTATAACTTTTAATATAAGTTCTTACACATATGTTAACAGCACTAAAATATTTTATTTTCATTTTGTTTTACCTTTATGACCGGAGGCCGTTATTGGCTTTAAACGGAAAAAAGAACTTCTTGTAGAAAAAAACCGTAACTAAATACATTAAAATATAAAACTTTCAGATTTCATCTTTTTTAACATTAAACAAAAAAATAAATATTTTAGTACTGCACCTTCTTAAAAGGTGCTAAAAATAAACAATATTGCGTTCCTTCCACAACAAAATAAATCAAGTTTAATGCAAAAAAGTTAAAATTTATTTTTTTGGCACCACTTATCAAACAAAGTATAGCAAAAATTGCGTAAGTTTTTTTACAATTTTTCGAATTTTAGATCAATGGAAGACCTGCGTGGAAAGCTAAAACAGCAGCCCCACCCTCTGCCGGAGATGAAAGCGATTGACCGGCGCCGGCGCATGTTCCAACAACATACCAGCGTGTCATTAGACTGTAATGACAAGTAAACATGACATGCCTTACAGAGAAGCATAATTTGTTTCCCTATGCCAATGACATGCTGATGCACTAATTGACATGCTAATCTACTAATTGACATGCTAATGATGAATAACGAAAATACTGGTTAACAATTTTGTATTCTTAATTTGTTCCAAATGTTACCCTTCCCGTTCGGGATTTAATTTCTTTACATCCCTTTATTTTAGTTGATTTTCCATACATCACCAAAGTTAAACTTAAAACCTTGAGTTCAAAAGTTTGAGTTCATTAGATGTGGCTAAGCTACTAAAAGTTTAGTTTCAATTAAGTGACATGTATTGTTTTTCAACTTTAAAGGGACTATAGGCGTAATTTCAAGTGACTCTCCATACAAAAAAACAACGGTATCTTCCACTTTTTTGATCAGATAAAAGTTGAAAGGGTACCTTTGTAAATCGATCATTGCCATCATTGCAATGTAGGGTCAATTGAAATTAGTCTACAGTCCCTTTAATTAATTTTATCTGATAGCCGCAAATAATATTTTTTTACTTACTTTTAGAAACTTCAATCTTTTTTTTCTTTATCATCATATTAGGGTTTGTTTATAATATTAAACTGTGATGTATTACAATCAGGAACCAGGCCTATCTAAATATACTTTGTTTGTCCGTTTGCGTGTCCAATAGACGACAATTAACAACTGAAACGATCGGGCAAAATTTTTTGCGTAAATGACTAGAGAAATGTTACGGATGGTAAAGATGAAAAAATGTTCCCGAAAAAAATGCCAACATTTATTGTTGTTGAAAATGCGCCAATTTTGAAAACGAAATACCCGAAAAAAGAAGCAATTAAAAGATAAAATTGTTAATGTAAATAAACATCGATTAGAAACAGTTATTTTACATGCCAGATCCGTTCTATCCTGTTTCCAATCGTTTACAGTTTTGGATACAACTTGTTCCTGTGGTTTTAATATGTGTATAGAAATCCTTCCACCATAGAATAGGTCTAACACCAACCCCCTCTCCCCTCCCTCCCCTCCCTTCCCTCCCTCCCCTCCCTTTGATTGAAGAGTAGTTTTTTTTCTTAATGGTTTAACTATCAGACAGTTTTAAAGTAGAACCAATTTATTCATATAATTCTATTCGAATCTGAATAAAGATAAACCTAAACTAAATTTTACTGCATACATATATGATATCATTCATTCTGGATTTAACTTTTGGGTTTTAATGCAATTAATGATAATTTAAAAATTTAGATTATCTGAAAACTAACTTTTTCTTAATTACAATTTAATCATGAACAATATACAATGAAAATCTTAGATAGAACAAATAATGACTTATTTTCTAAAAAGAAATGTTTTAAACAAACACTTTTGTATACGATTCTTCTGCTTATACCCAAACTTTATTCACCCCTTCAAATTTTGTAAAATAAAGGAACAATACAATTTTGTAAAATAAAGGAACAATACAATTTTGTAAAATAAAGGAACAATACAATTTTGTAAAATAAAGTAACAATTCAATTTTGTAAAATAAAGGAACAATACAATTTTGTAAAAGTAAGGAACAATACAATTTGTAAAATAAAGGAACAATACAATTTTGCAAAATAAAGGAACAATACAATTTTGTAAAATAAAGGAACAATACAATTTTGTAAAATAAAGTAACAATTTAATTTTGTAAAATAAAGGAACAATACAATTTTGTAAAATAAAGTAACAATAAAATTTTGTAAAAGTAAGGAACAATACAATTTTCTAAAATAAAGGAACAATACAATTTTCCAAAATAAAGGAACGAACAATTCAATTTTGTAAAATAAAGGAATAATACGATTTTCTAAAAGGAAGGAACAATGTAATTTTGCAAAATAAAGAAACAATACATTTTGTAAAATAAAGGAAAACAATTCAATTTTGTAAAATGAAGAAACAATACAATTTTGTAAAAGTAAGGAACAATACAATTTTGTAAAATAAAGTAACAATACAATTTTGTTAAAGTAAGGAACAATACAATTTTGTGTAATAAAGGAACCATACAATTTTCCCAAATAAAGGAAAAATAAAGGAACAATGTAATTTTGCAAAAAAAGGAACAATACAATTTTGCAAAGAAAAGGAACAATACAAATTTGCAAAATAAAGGAACAATACATTTTTGTAAAATAAAGGAACAATACAATTTTTCAAAATAAAGGAACAATGTAATTTTGTTAAATAAATAAAATACAATTTTGCAAAATTTTGTTAATAATGTTGGTGAAATGACGGTAAAAGAAGGAGCAATGAAATTTTTTAAAATAAAGGAACAATACAGTTTTACAAAATTAAGGAAAATTTTAAAATTTTGTAAACAAAGGAGAATACAATAAATATAATGTTCTTTTTTAGAGTATACTGTACTTTATAAATTTTACTTTACTAAGGAGTATACTGTAAATCGTACAGCAAACTGTACATTGTAAAGAAAACTGTACATTGTAGAGTAAACTGTACATTGTAGAGTAAACTGTACATTGTAGAGTAAAATGTACATTATAGAGTAAAATGTACATTGTAGAGCAGAGTAGAGTAAACTGTACATTGTTGAATAAACTGTACATTGTAGAGTAAACTGTACATTGTAGAGTAAACTGTTCATTATAGAGTAAAATGTACATTGTAGAGCAGAGTAGAGTAAACTGTACATTGTAGAGCAGAGTAGAGTAAACTGTTCATTATAGAGCATACTGTACATTGTAGAGCTCACTACATTATAGAGCATACTGTACATTGTAGAGTATACTGTACATTGTAGAGTAAACTGTACATTGTAGAGTAAACTGTACTTTGTAGAGTAAACTGTACATTGTAAAGTATACTGTGCATTGTAGAGTAAACTTTTCATTATAGAGCATACTGTACATTCTACAGTATACTGTACATTATAGAGTATACTGTATTTTATAAAGTATACTGTTCATTATAGAGTAAACTGTACATCATAAGGTATATAATTTACATTAAAGAGTATACTCTACATCATCAGGTATACTTTACATTATCGTATGCTGTACATTAAAGATTATCCTGTACAATGTAAGGTATACTGTACATCATAAGGTATGCTGGACATTATTGAGTATACTGTATATTATAAGGTAAACTTTACATTATCAAGTATATGCTGTACAGTATATAGTATTCTGTACATGATAAGGTATACATTGCATTGTAGAGTATACTATACATTATAGATTATACTGAATATACTCTACATTAATTTCGAGCAAAATGTTGTAAGGGATTGAGTCTTTGCCGCAAACTCTGATTTTCTAATCCTTTATCACTGCAACTTGATGCAGTAGACCTAGGATATTTCATGTAATCTGATGGAATAAATAATCCTAAATCACTGCAACTTGATGCAGTAGACCTAGGATATTTCATGTAATCTGATGGAATAAATAATCCTAAATCACTGCAACTTGATGCAGTAGACCTAGGATATTTCATGTAATCTGATGGAATAAATAATCCTATATCTCTGCAACTTGATGCAGTAGACCTAGGATATTTCATGTAATCTGATGGAATAAATAATCCTATATCTCTGCAACTTGATGCAGTAGACCTAGGATATTTCATGTAATCTGATGGAATAAATAATCTAAGGTTGAAATATAAAAAGATTTCCGATCCACCATTAGGTTGCAAAGATGTAGGGATTCGAAAATTGAGGTCAAAAACTCAAATCCTTTACAATGCTTTTGGTTGTTCTCTCTCCGCACAAAATTTACATAGCATTGGTTTTAAAGAGGGTATTTACCTCTAAAAACGGGAATAGTCCATGGGACAAGCATCATGTATCAATGTGCCAGACGTTCACACAGGGTTACACACAAAGGAAAAGACAGTAAAGACGACCGGAAACTCTAACAACGTGACGATTCTAAGGCTATATTGTTTATTCTGCTTAGATAAAGTTATATCATTACTTATTTAATGATTTGGCAGATATACAAACAAGTTTATAGTTGAAGGGAATCGTGAATATAAGGAAACAGATAGTAAATTTCCGTACAATCGTCTTTGAAGTCTGATCGTATGTAGGTAACCCTGTATTACAGATTATGTAAATTGTGAATTCCTAAATCTTTTAGAAGTAAGACGACATATATACACATAATTAATGTTTATATAAAGAGTAGTACAGGGTGTCCCAGGAAACATGACAGTTCTCTTTTTCCATAATTTGTTAAGTTCTTGAATACCAAAGAGAATAATAAAAAACATCGCTTGGTAGTATTATTATAATAAAGTTGATTTCAAAGCAAAATATAATTGAGTAAAAGATTTGTTAGCAAAATAAACTGCACACAGTCTTTAATATAAAATAATATTATGGAAGAAGACATTTAAAACTATTCACCAACTGTCATGTTTCGTGGGACACCCTTTAGTATGAGTAGGAGCGGATGAAAGCAGGCGGCCATAATCCACAACAATTTTCTCTTCCATGCCACAACATTTAAGTCTTCCGGCTGTTATTACGTTTATTATTGATAAAATTAAGGCATTGAAATTGCAATTTAAAATAATCCTGTCTCTACGCGAAAGATGTAACCTTTAGGAAATTGTAGAAGTATTAAAGTGTTTTCCGTTCACATTTTACAAAGAACATTTTTCATTACTTTACGCATTGTGGGCACCGAGAAAAATAGTTTGGGGGAAGTGTAAAAAAAACGAAAAGATTAAAAAAATCACAATATTAACTGTCATTACCTGAGGGTTACAGATTTCCACAAAAAAATCTATTTTGCAATTTTCGGTTATGGGCGCCCTTTGAACTTTAAGAGTATGTTATGGTGCATTCTTTTTATTGTTCCTAATGTTTTATAAATGAGCCATTTTAGAGGAAAGATTTATTTTGTTTTTAGTGAAAATAAGTTTAGCAGTTTACGTTATAAGGAATCATTATTATTTTAATTTAAAACTTAAATATAAAGTTCTTTATATAAATCTTTTGCATGACATCGCTGATTTTTTTTAAATCACAATCTCAATGCCCTAAATTTATCATTTATAAACGAGAATTGCCTGAAGAGTCAAATCCTGACGCATGTAAGACTGTACGGTTGTGGCTCATAACTCTCGGAAGACAAAAAAGCTAAAATGTGGCATGGAAGGGAAAATGTTGTGGCTTATGGCCGCTAGCCTTATCCATCTCGGAGTAAAAGTAGAAGATGGAGTAGTAGTAGGAGTAGGAGTAGGAGTAGGAATCGAAGTAGGAGTAGGAGTAGGAGTAGAAGTAGGAGTAGTAGTAGGAGTAGGAGTAGGTATTATTTACGATCTGAATGGTTGAATTTGTGGATTTGTAAGGGTCCTATGACGCTCTTGGATATAAGACGTTTTTAGCCATTTTCTCCTGATGAATATATATCCAACAGATAAAAGAAAACATAGTGGCAATCGATATCAATTTTGATTTGATTTTGATATCAGCCTACATATACCCCCTTTAATTTTTGTGAACATATCCTTTAATAAATTCCCTGCAGTCTTCATTCTTTGAAACATTTGTAACAAATCATCAGTTACTTGGAATTCTGTTTACTTTCTGTAGCAGGACATTTTCATTTTGCAAAGTGCAGATAAAATATTTATATTACATTGCACAATTTGCAGACATCGTGATCGTATTTATTTCTGAATGGACATTCTTAAAGTTTTGTTCAACATGTTTGTATATATTATTTCTTGAACTTAATATTTGAATAATTTTCAAAAATCTTGATTGTACAGTAAATAAATTTTTATTCACACACAAAAATAAAGCTGAATTGTCCAATTTTAACTAAAAAGTTACTTATTATCGTAAAATTAGGATCCATGTTTTATCATTTCTATGTTGATCAGTAGCTGACCATCATGTTCTATGTTGATCTGTAGCTGACCATCATGTTCTATGTTAATCTGTAGCTGACCATCATGTTCTATGTTATCCCCGGAAATCAAATCTAAAAATCTTTCATAAGTTCAAATCTTACATTGCATGTTTTAACATTTTGGATTATAACTTTCATTTATTTAATTGGCTAAGCTCTTAAATTCACAAAGTATCCCTTGAACCTTTATCTATGCAGAACTGAAAAATATATTATTGGTTTGCTTTCTGAAAATTGATAGTTTTAAATTATGGTTTCTCTTTTAAAGGACAGCCGAGACAAAGTAGAAAATTGTTAGAATTCAACACTTTCCAAACTGAAAACCATGATATCTTCTCAGGTATCTGTTCCACAGATATAACTTAATCAAGAACACAAGGTTCACACAAATACCAAAGTCAATATAAATCCGGATACAGCTCAGTCTGTATTCTCAGGTATCTGTCCTACAGATACAATTTATTTAAGTACCAATCTATATCTATCTTTAAGAAAGTTATTCAATAAGTTTCTCGTTCGCTAACCAAGTAATAATTACTCTCACGATGTAATTAAAACGGAGTATCATCCCAACTGACGTTAATTTTGATTTCTATGTTACAGGTTAAGTTAATAACCGTAATTACAAGTTTTGCGTCTTTATATACAAGAGTGTAGTTAGGCTAATCACAACACAGAATGACATAGTTATTTACAGACATAATTAGGTTAGGTTAATCGCAGTATAAGTTCTACGTAATTATTTACAAGCGCATTTAGATTAACAGACAGACAGAGGTTATTTTGAAATAATATCTCCACTCTCCACTTTCCGCTCTACACTCTACACTCTACACTCTACACTCTACACTCTACACTCTACACTCTACACTCTACACTCTACACTCTACACTCTACACTCTACACTCTACACTCTACACTCTACACTCTACACTCTACACTCTACACTCTACGCCCTACGCTCTACACTCTACACTCTACACTCTACACTCTACATTCTACACTCTACACTCTACACTCTAAACTCTATACTCTACAGCCCTTTGATCATGATACACCCTTCTCAAAAAAAAGTAAAGGCTTGAAAGTAACATGATCGAAACCCAAAAATGGACTTTACATGAAACATTGTCATTTTACAAACCTCCCACGGTTGATAAATAAATAGATTCATCTATCTATCTTTTTCCTGCAATTAATTCCAAATGATGGAAACGTGAAGCAGATTAACAATATTTTACAACAAATAAAATGATTTTATGAGTAATTAAACGGTGGCAGGTTACATGTTTAGTATAGTTACCAAATATCTTCTAATCACAGTTTTATTCTTAGAGTATAAAATCCAGCGGATCACTAAGATTTTGTGTGAAAGCTAGCTGCGTTTATACATAATCTGAGAGGATTAAGGATGGCAACTCTGTTCTTCTATATTATCTGAGAGGATTAAGGATAAAAACTCTGTTCTTCTATATTATCTGAGAGGATTAAGGATGAAAACTCTGTTCTTCTATATTATCTGAGAGGATTAAGGATGAAAACTCTGTTCTTCTATAGAATCTGAGAGGATTAAGGATGAAAACTCTGTTCTTCTATAGAATCTGAGAGGATTAAGGATGAAAACTCTGTTCTTCTATAGAATCTGAGAGGATTAAGGATGAAAACTCTGTTCTTCTATAGAATCTGAGAGGATTAAGGATGAAAACTCTGTTCTTCTATAGAATCTGAGAGGATTAAGGATGAAAACTCTGTTCTTCTATAGAATCTGAGAGGATTAAGGATGAAAACTCTGTTCTTCTATAGAATCTGAGAGGATTAAGGATGAAAACTCTGTTCTTCTATAGAATCTGAGAGGATTAAGGATGAAAACTCTGTTCTTCTATAGAATCTGAGAGGATTAAGGATGAAAACTCTGTTCTTCTATAGAATCTGAGAGGATTAAGGATGAAAACTCTGTTCTTCTATAGAATCTGAGAGGATTAAGGATGAAAACTCTGTTCTTCTATAGAATCTGAGAGGATTAAGGATGAAAACTCTGTTCTTCTATAGAATCTGAGAGGATTAAGGATGAAAACTCTGTTCTTCTATAGAATCTGAGAGGATTAAGGATGAAAACTCTGTTCTTCTATAGAATCTGAGAGGATTAAGGATGAAAACTCTGTTCTTCTATAGAATCTGAGAGGATTAAGGATGAAAACTCTGTTCTTCTATAGAATCTGAGAGGATTAAGGATGAAAACTCTGTTCTTCTATAGAATCTGAGAGGATTATGGATGAAAACTCTGTAATTGTATATATCAGCTGCTGGGGGTATATATAAATACTTTGTTCTAATGTATATCCTGAGAGGCTTTTGGTCGAAAAAAAAATTCAAAAATATCTCAATAAGGGTCTTAAAACACTGAATTCAGTTAATGGATTTTGAATGGATTTGTTAATTATTAAATTAATTAAAGACAAAAATAACTGGTTTTTGTAAGAGGATTGTGGGTGAAATTATATAATCTGAGAAGATTATGGATGAGAACTCTGTTCTTTTATATAATCTGCGAGGATTATGGATAAGAACTCTGTTCTTACATATAAACTGCAGAGAGGATATTGGGTGAAAACTCTGTTCTTATATATAAATTCAGAGAAAAATAAATGGAAACTCTGTTATATTTTATAATCTAAGGAAACAGCTACTCATTGTAATTTAATGATAAACGTTTCCGCAAGTTTTGATGTTTTGACATCTCTTATATTTACAGTTATATTCACCAATATTTAATATTTAGTTGAAAACAAGGAGAATATAATCCTAACATTTAACCCCTGGCTGCAGAGCAAATTAACTGCACAGGAAATAGGTTTTAGGTTACTGGGTAATCAACTTCATGCAGATTCAAACATTCAGAGCTTGGAACTTTTGAATAAATGGAACTAATTTAAATCGCGTATTCATTAAATCTCATTAAATTAAACTCACTTTCATAATTTCAGAGATCAAATATTTTGCCAATAAGAGAAGGATATAATAAGTTAAACTTAATGCCCTATCAAAGTTAAACCCCCTTCCCATTTTAGCTTTAATTCTAAATCTAAATGATATGTTTCAAATTTAGATTAACTAATAATTTGAATTCATAGTTTTAAATATCTAAGGTCTAATAAGACAGTTCTATCTCTCCAGACTCTACAGTTAGACCTGATTCTATTATCATTTGTAGCAATAATCCAATCCTATCATAAATACTTCGCTACCTCGTTTATCTAAGTTGATATATGACCACTTTATTCCCCCTTCCTTTCTTCTGCGCCACTAATCATCTCATTTACCACCCTATATCCCTCTCAGTCATAAGTTTGCACTATTTATTAATTAATTAATCGAATTCTTATCATATGTACATTGTTAATATATTTAGAGAGATTTTCAAAGGAGCTAACATAATCTACGAGCGGAGCCATTATCAAAGGCTCGTGGCTAATAAAGATTGTTCGATGTAAGTATTTCAGTATTTGTGTCATGTGGGGCCCATAATGTGTAATAGAAGGGGACGACATTGAAGCAATATTTTATGTGTATTTAATGTTGATGTAAAGTAAACAGATTTCCTTGTACCTTGCAAATCAAGTAATGAGATATTCTCTTCATTGAGGAATCAATAATAATGTCTTTCGTCTTTACTTCTTCGTTGTATTTCATAGTTTTATGGGGACCACCGTATCTATTCCAAAGTTTGGGTGCGGATGTGCATTGCATGCGAATATTACCCGCTACTGCCTATTATCCAACTAAATGCTCAAAATTCCTCAAGTTTAAAATTCTAAATATCGAGACTAACTGTGTAATAAGATAATTATCTAATATCAGGAATTATGTAATTATTCATTCATTTAATTTAGATTTAATAAAGAAATAATTTACAGTGAATGCACTTTGAGGTCTAATTCTCTTAACATACGGAGATTTTAATTTCAAGCTATATTTCTTAAACTATAATTTTTTTTAATCGTTGAGTTTATCTTGAGTTTATCTTAAGTTTATCTTGAGTTTATCTTGAGTCCTAAGTTTTTCTTGAGCCTATTTTGAGTTTATCTTGAGTTTATCTTGAGTTTATCTTGAGTTTACCTTGAGTTTATCTTGAGTTTATCTTGAGTTTATCTTGAGTTTAGTTTGAGTCTAGTTTGAGTTTATCTTGAGTTTATCTTCAGTTTATCTTGAGTTTATCTTGGGTTTATCTTCAGTTTATCTTAAGTTTATCTTGAGTCCTAAGTTTTTCTTGAGCTTATCTTGAGTTTATCTTGAGTTTATCTTAAGTTTATCTTCAGTTTACCTTGAGCTTATCTTGAGTTTATCTTGAGTTTATTTTGAGTTTAGTTTGAGTTTATCTTGAGTTTATCTTGAGTTTATCTTGAGTTTATCTTGGGTTTATCTTCAGTTTATCTTAAGTTTATCTTGAGTTTATCTTGATTCCTAAGTTTTTCTTGAGCTTATCTTGAGTTTATCTTGAGTTTATCTTGAGTTTATCTTGAGTTTATCTTAAGTTTATCTTGATTTTATCTTGAGTTTATCTTGAGTTTATCTTGGGTTTATCTTGAGTTTATCTTATGTTTATCTTGAGTTTATCTTGAGTCCTAAGTTTTTCTTGAGCTTATCTTGAGTTTATAGTGAGTATATTTTGCGTTTAGTTTGAGTTTATCTTGAGTTTATCTTGAGTCCTAAGTTTTTCTTGAGCTTACCTTAAGTTTATCTTGAGTTTATCTTGATTTTATCTTGAGTTTATCGTAAGTTTATCTTGCGTTTAGTTTGAGTTTATCTTGGGTTTATCTTGAGTTTATCCTAAGTTTATCTTGAGTTTATCGTGAGTTTATCTTGCGTTTAGTTTGAGTTTATCTTGGGTTTATCTTGAGTTTATCCTAAGTTTATCTTGAGTTTATCTTGAGTCCTAAGTTTTTCTTGAGTTTATCTTGAGTTTATCGTGAGTTTATCTTGCGTTTAGTTTAAGTTTTTCTTGGGTTTATCTTGAGTTTATCTTGAGTTTATCTTGAGTTTATCTTGAGTGTATCTTGAGTTTATCATGAGTTTATCTTGAGTTTATCTTAACCCCAAATGCTCCATGCGCTGGGTAGTTTTAAAAAGTATAAATCATTTTTAAATAAATTTATTTGATTATATCATTAAACTTCTTCGTTATAAAAAACTATAAACTTGAGAAATCTAAAAAATGAAAGAAAAGCTGCATGATGATATTTATCTTTGTAACCTGATATAGCAGATCTTGTATCTTTTAAAATATAAGTTCTGTTTATTGATCAATTGATCACTTGACACCATCAAAGATATAGGTCAGAATATTAGATTTAATTAAGAATAATTAGTTCTTTTGAATAATTAATAAAAATAATGAATCAAAAACAAAATGTAAACAATGAATTTATATTAATAATGAATGCAATGAAACACTTCAATTTAATCGTATAAATGAATTTAAAAAAAAAAAAAATTTGAAATCATATTTTCTTAATCTTCTCTCCATTGATCCTCGGGTTCTGTTTCCTTATATTCGATTTTGCTTCCTAAAAATTACAATTAATGTTTTTATATAATTGAAATAATTGAATAATTGAAAATCACAATTTTTAAAAGATAAAGAATAAAATAGCTTAGTTCATTTGAGCAATTTTTTGAAAAATAAAGGAGAATTTAAAAACTTTTCAAAGGAATTGAGTCTTTGCAACAAATCCCAATTTTCTAATACCTATATATCTACAACCAAATTATGTAAACCTTTGATATTTCAAACTTTGATCGTTTGATATAACAGAAGTCATATTTTGAAATATCAAAGGTATACAACATTGGGTTGTTAAGATATAGGGATTTAAAAATCAGAGTTTGTGGCAAAGACTCAATTCCTTTACTAAATAGTTTCGGGAGGAGTACAGTTACCCTAGTATATAAAAGCTTTAGAATATATTGGTCTGGATGCGCAGTGTGCGATACGTATTCAAACCCCAATTTTCTAAGGCCATCTCATTTAAAAGTAAACCACTAACTTGTATTGGACAAATATTCACAAGTTTAAAGTTTCCCGGTCACGTGGATTTAACAATTTGTCCTATAAAACATATTTTTAAGCCTTTTTTTCTAAAATCGTTTTTGGCTGGCTTAAACGTTTTGAATAGAAAGTATCAAACAAACAAATCCGTAAGTTTAAAGATTGTTTTACTATGTAAACGTGTATGATTTCAAATAGAAGTAATGCTTCTAACTCTGGTTGGTCCGGGGTGCGTTGCTAGTGTCAAATGAGGGTGCTACTCAGGCTAGAGCAAAAAAAACTAGAAGGGGCGCAAAAAGTACCCCTATAATCCCCTCCCACTCCTGTATCTTCAGGGTTAATCAAATTATTGAATGTATCTATTATATTACCTCATGATAGTTGTACTCGCATTCATGTTCACTGCTTGAAATATGATTAGAGCAAAAATACTTCAAACATCTACAAATATGATTAGAACAAAAATACTTCAAACAACTAGAAATATGATTAGCAAAAATACTTCAAACATCTAGAAATATAATTAGAACAAAAATACTTCAAACATCTAGAAATATGATTAGAACAAAAATACTTCAAACAACTAGAAATATGATTAGAACAAAAATACTTCAAACAACTAGAAATATGATTAGAACAAAAATACTTCAAACAACTAGAAATATGATATATGGTTTACAGAAAATACCATGCATAAATAAACAAATGACTGATAGAAGAGTAAAAATGCAGAGTGACAGAATGAAGATACTAAAATGTCGCCCAAAGTTTCATTTTTGTTGAGACACCCTGCAATATTATCTCCAGTGTCAGTGTCACCCTTTAAACAATAATTGTACCTGCAGGGATATGATGTTAGACCTAGTTTCTTCCGACACTTTGTAGTGGAACACCTAATTCTAGATTCTATTAAATTCAATCTTATTTAAAGAATAAATTGAAAAACTCTATCCCATCTTACAGTTTTACAATGAAAAACTGTATGCTAATTAGAATTATTAATGCCAACTGCTAGAAAAGTCAAGTTGAAAAAAACGTAGGCAAACTGCAGTTTTTACTAACTCAACTCATTTTTAACATTTATTTTTTTGAAAGTCTGAAATAAAATGTTTAACAATGAGGAGGGATGGAAGTATTTTAGTACTTGCGCAAATTCCGCTCTAAATATGCAGGTTGAGATCGTTTTCATAGTTGTAGATCATTTACACTTTCATGCACTAATGCAAACTCCTGTAAGCGGCATTTATAATAAACAATTATGGAAGACATGAATCATTCTGCTTAATATTTGTAATTACTGTTTCAATTTTAAAGAAAATATTTACTTCTGTTTGATGAGTGTTGGTGTAAGATTAGCTGCTGAGCTGCCAGGCTTAGGGTCAGCTTTATCTTTCTTCAACCTTTTCCTGGAGGAGCTTCTACTTCTCGCAGCTTTCCCTCCAGCCTCAGGAGCTTTCCCTCTTATCTCCGTAGATCTACCTCTAGCCTCCTTACTTCTACTTCTACTTCTTGTCATCATAATACTGTTCTTGGTCTCCTTCCTTCCTTCTGTAGACCTACTCCGAGATCCTTTACTCGAAGTTTGTGCTCGTCCTTCTGAAGAAATTACAAAAAATGTTTTATTTTCGCCATTGTCTTAGCCTTTAGCTTTTCAAGAACTTTTGCGCCCAAGAGAAAACATTTTATAACAAATGAACTGAGTTTTTGTTATATTTGAACTTACTAAATTTAAAGATTGAAATATTAATGTCTACAACATTGGGTTGCAAAGATATAAAGATTTTAAAATCAGCGTTTGTGGCAAAAATTCAGTTCCCTTTCTTTATGGAAACATTTGGTTTCCTGATTTGGTTTACCTGGTTTTCTCTGTCTATCTCTAGATCGTCTAGGATGATGTTCAACCCTAAAGTTTCCAAATTAAAAAATTAAATAAAAAGAATTAATAATCTTCGTTTATCATTCTTTTTAAGAATTATTTTCACATGCAGTTGATTAATACTATTCCAACACTAAAAACAGTCTACACTAGTTAGTAGGCTTCAAACTTAAAAGTAAGTGATTGTTTATTGGCTTTGTTGATAAATGATAAAATTTCACGACCTGGTTTAGCAACGAAAGAAATTAAGATAGATTAAAATTAATGTTCACCTGAATGAAGGCTTTGCACCTGAGCTGTTATTTTTCACTTCTTCTGAGAAACGTATAATTTTATTGGCTTTATTTTGTGCTTGATCATCAGTATTGGTGGAGATAGCAGTAGAGTTGTTTACGGTTATCTGAGAGCTTCCTGTCGTATCTGAGATCGTAGCAGATTTTTTCAGACTAGCCTCCACGATTGCATTAGCAGAGTCCTCATCTTCTTTGTTCAGATCATTATCTGAACTTATATTGGAATTGTTCAGATCAATTGGACTCTCTGAAGCATTGTTCAAACCTAATTCTGGTTTATCATTCTCTAAGCTTTTGATGTTTGTCGTAGTTGATTCAGTAGCTTTGCTCAGGGTTGTTTCGTCGGTTTTATTTGTTTCTGTATTACCAAATACTTTCCGTGAAACATTTGGACTTGCTTTCACAAGGCCCATTATTGCATTGGTTGAAGAAGCTGTAACATTTCTCATGACATTGGAAGAAGTATCAGTAGGTGTGATCGAGTCTGCTTTCAAGCTGGTAGAAGCTGTCTCAGTGACAGCGACTTCAGCGATATCAGAAGTGTTGAATGTTCTGTTGGTTTCAATCTCATCTGTGACAGAAACATCGGATTCCTAAATTTTGTTTTTCATGAATACATTTGAGCTGAAATAATAGCAATCCCAAAAGAGACATGGGAATGATCTACTTTTCGACTGAAACTTTATCAAAAAAAGTCTGAAATTCACATTCTTTTAATATAAAAAACTTTGATATTACCACTCAAATGTTTTTTCAAAACTGGACCAAGAAACATATTACTTAAAAGTGTTTCTATACCTGACTTTTTTCATCCCACTTGGAATTTTGACCCTCGTTTCTCTCCATTTTCTGAAAATTTGTAGATTTTCAAGGAACAACTCCCGCATTTTCAGATTTGGTTCCCCTTCTTGTTGACTTGATTTCATTCTTTTCTGTATAAACATAATTTGTTTGTTTAAAAAGGTAATGTAAATGTTAGACTTAAGTTTAAATAGTTCAAATATTGTGCAGTGTAGACAGATCATTTCAATTAATAAGTAGATTTTCTATCTTCTGGTAAACTGTTTTTTGAAGCATAGTTTACACATAAGATTGTTTAAATGTTGTCTGAATATTCCGCAGTTTTATGAGTTCCACAGCAATTGTTTTAATTACTTATTAAATTGTGATTTTAGTTTTTCAAGTTTTTCTTTTTTTAAGTTACTCAACATTTAAAGAACATGGAAAGCGTGCTTGAATGCATATTGGCGTCTGAACAGGAAGCTCAATCGTCTACGCTAGTTGAGATCACCAAACAATTGGATGACAAGAAGATAGGTAGATAGACAGATAGGTAAAGGTAGCGCTAGAGATAGAAGATTTGTATTTTGTGTCTCAGTTGAAGAATTGTTTCAGGCATATATACACATATTATAACCTCAAGTTACAGACCTACTATTTAAGCGCTGTTACATAAATCTCTTCATATATTAACATGTTTACATATATAAAGTGCTAACCAAAAAGCATAAAACTTTTGAAGAAGAATTCAAAGATTTAAAGATTTTTAATTTTAGTCGATTGCTTAGGTTCAGAACTTAATTTTTATATCTAGTTGAATTTATTGTTATTTACAAATAGTATTTCAAGCTGTATTTCTTAATAATATTGATTTTAATAAGTTCAATGAGTTGTCAAAAAGTTGCTTGGACATAACAGTCATCGATTTTTATTCTTATTATTATTTGATTTTTATCCTTATTATTATTTGATTTTTATCCTTATTATTATTCGATTTTTATTCTTATTATTATTTGATATTTATCCTTATTATTATTTGATTTTTATTCTTATTATTATTTGAAGACGTAACGTAACGTTTTAAACTGTGAAAGCCAATAAAAATAAATAGAACTTGCATTATTTAAAGTGCAATCATTTAAATCATTAAATAGCTGAACTCTTTTTTTGCATCTCATTTTTAATTGAAATATAATTCCTTTCTGACCAATTTAGAATCTTCAAAGTGTCTCAGATTTATTATATCTTAAATTCTAACTTATGAACTAATGAATTGTAAAACCTTCTTAATTGTTTTAAAGCATTAGATTTAGAGACTTTTCAAACATAATTTCGAATGATCCTTAATTAAATTTTAAAAAATGGTACCGTTGTTTCCTTTTTCTGATCTAGATTGAGTGTGATATTATTGTTTTTCTAAATGAAAATTGATCTCTTTAAATCATGAAAATGACCCGCAGATTTATGCTACAAAGATAGTTAAGGAAAGCATTAGACGTTCACATTTTTGAAGATTGAAAAACGACAATATCTTTCCCATTAGTATAGTCACTCAACGGTTCAAATGGTATCGATGTGAATCCAACAATTAAGTCTACATAAATTCAATGTATTAGTACTTTTATTTTATTATTTGCATTTTTTACATTTTACAAATAATAGTATAACGATTTTGTGAATCAGCATATTTGAACAGTAAAAAAAACCTTAGAAGTTCTTGTAAATATTAAATTACACATTACCAAATTCCAAGACTAGGTCGGTATGTTTTATTGTCTATTTATGATGATGTCATTTATTTATAAATTGCATACATGAACTAATTAACTTTTTTAACTTGCATTCATGGACTGATTAACTTTTAAATCTTGCATACATGGACTGATTAACAGCTTGCATACAGGACTGATTAACTTTCATAACTTGCAAACATGGACTGATTAACTTTTATAACTTGCATACATGCACTGATTAACTTTATTTTAACAAATAATTTCGTCAGGAATGCTGAATAACAAAGCATTAAAAAGTCAGGATTTTAAAAATGAGTTTTCAGTTAATTTATTGAAATTGAAATTTTTTCAGAATTAACAGTCTTTAAAAATCGATGACATCGATAGACTAATCAGATGTAAGTATATTTTTTTATGTAATGGATTTTTTCTGTTTCTACATTTTAATCTTTTTTCAACTTTTTTGATTTATGAGTCTAATTTTGTTTAAATTAAAGGGACAACTTACCAAAACGTTTATTCTATATCTTGCATCAAAATGAAGTAAGCTGCAGGTTATATTAAAATCTTACATGTTTTCAATCATAAATTCTCTTCTTGAGAAGCTTTGTGAAAAAAATATGTTTTGAATTTCTAAGAAAAAAATAAAACTAGAGGAGGTACGAGGTCAAAAAGTTATACAAGAAATGTCGCATCAATTTGGTCTTGGTTGTGGGACCCTTTAATCAATTTAGTGTTACTTACAATGTAATAAACATTGCTATCAATTCTGTATCAGACCTAATTAGATATACATGGTGTTTACAGGGTATACTAGACAATACAGTACAGGGTATACCAGACAATACAGTACAGGGTGTTTACAGGGCATACTAGACTATACAATACAGGGTATACCAGACAACACAGCACAGGGTGTTTACAGGGTATACCAGACAATACAGTACAGGGAATAATAGACAATATAATATAGGGAATAATAGACAATATAATATAGGGTATACCAGACAATATAATATAGGGTATACCAGACAATATAATACAGGGTATACCAGACAATATAATATAGGGTATACCAGACAATATAATATAGGGTATACCAGACAATATAATATAGGGTATACCAGACAATATACTACAGGGTATACCAGACAATATAATAT